AACGAAACTCAATACTAAATCTATATTTGTATTCATTTAACTGAAAAGCATTTATTAGTTGAGTAAACATTTGCTGTAAATGTAGACTTAATTTCCTCTTTTCATATAAATATTCCTTTCAAACATCCATTAATTTATAATTAAAAACACTAATTATTAATTTAATACTGCATTTGTTGCAAACAAAACACATTTAATTGAATTCTACATAACATATGGTTAGAGATACCAGTAATTAAAGGCAAATGCATTTTATATCATATGAAATGCAATGAAATTATGTAGAAATATAGCAAAGAGTATAATAAAACAAAGAATAACTCACATTAATTTAATAAGTATACAAAAACCATTAAACAAACGCTATCTTATATTCACAATTATTAAATAATATCTATGTTTTGAGTGAATTAACTAAAAATATTCGTTTCGATGATTTCCATGTTTAATAGTAACAGCATTTCTGTTCAGTTTTTAAAAATTAAACATGTTTTTGATAAATATGTAAAAATATCGCAAATGCAGACAAATGTGATTTTAAACGATAAAATTAATTACTTTGAGACGTGTTATACACGTTATTTAAAATAATTTTGTTATTACAATAAATAGCATGGTATTTCTATATCTAACTGGCATATCTCAATTCCTATTGTTTGTTCATTACATTATTCAATAAAAATATTGCATTCAATTGTATTGTTTTTGAAGTACGGGAAGCGAAAGAAACTAAAATATATGAAGCAATTAGTTATTATCATTTCACAGACTGTTTAAGTGCTGCACAATTGGATTGTTTGCCAAAAATACCACTTAATCTAAATCAACGACTTTATGAACTAAAGGGTCAAAAGCCTAACGTTTATAACACTGTTTGCATTGCAAACTTTGCAATGCATTAAACTTTATCTAAATTCTTGATTCAATGCAAAAATAGGCGTCAAATGAAATGAAAACATTTCGTATGTCTATTCTTAACTGTTATTATACTGTATATGCATTTAAATTCACAACTTTTAAAACTTACAAAACTCTAAAATGTATTATAAAATATTGAGTTAAATTTCAAATTAGTGCTTTTTAACCAAGTACAGTTCAGTACAGCATGACTTTTCATCACATACTCCATCAAAATTTAATTCAAACATATATTCTCATGAATGACACAAAAAGCTTATATTTCTACACAGAATTGATCTCTAAAAGCAAGTGATTATAAATTGACAATAAAATATATAATAAAAAAGACAAAAAAAATCACATGCAATGAATTGTTGGGTTTCCAACTCATTATATTGACAAATGTTATCTACCTATCAATACATGTACACAATTTGATGTGATTTGAGTGACAGAATTGGTTACATTCACTATATTTACACTATTTATCAAACAGTTTATATCAGACATTATTTATCATTACATGCTTTCCAGGAGTCCTTTATTCCAATTATTAGATTTCNGTCCTTTATTCCAATTATTAGATTTCAATCAAATTGTAACCAATTATTACATGTAATATAAAAGGCATATAAAATCAAATCAAAGCATATAATAGTTTGAGCGATGAATACAATTTTGGTCATCAATACATGTGTGCAAAATAATTGGAGCACAGAATCAGAATCTGATATATAGTACAGTAGTCTATGAATACTGCAATTAATGTATACATTAAACCAGAATACGATTATTGCACTCTATATTTATTAGAGACAATACTTTCATTTTGTTAGTTATAATGTGATAAAATTGTTACAATTCAAAGACCCAGATGTGCTAAATATACAATACTGTACCACATATTCAATTCAATAGATAACAGAAAACTTATATATTTAGTGCATGGTCAATTTAAAATCATCAATATTTAATATTTAACGTTAATTATTTATAAATATTCCCAATGAAAATATTAACCCCAATTATTAAATATATTTGCATTCATTATAATTTGTAAAACACTCATTTAAATAATGAATTAATTATATATTGAATTATATAACAGTAATATTGACAATATTATATTGTATTGAAATACATAATTCATAACCATGATTGCCATTTTGTGGCCTTAGAGGTCTATTTTATAAAACAATTGGTGTGTAATTTATACTCTATTCAAGTGCTACTCATATATAATATACACTAATATAAAAGTGGGGTTTAAACATATTACTAATTTTATTTATTAATAATGCTTATATTGTTCATAAAAGGGGAAATTATGCTTTATAATAAGTAACGATTATTTTGAATAAAAGTTGATAATTTGACTTGGTGATTCAATAACCTCGTCACAATAAAATTACTTTTTCTCTATTTTATGGCAATCATGTTCATAACTATTAACAATAATGTTAACTAATATTGAAATTAGTTAAACAGTTTAAAAACAATTATATGTTTAATTGACTATTAATAAAAGGTATAGAGTTTGTCGTAACAATTAGTGTCTTCATTATAACGGGGTATACAATGAGTTGATTAAATGAAAGCTTAATTCAAATCACAAACAATTGTTTGCAATCATTTGTAACACATTTAAACAATTGCTATCAATAGCAATGAAATACACTATCGATCACTACATCCCATAGTAATCGCAATTAATGACAATCAAAGAGATAGTCATCACTCGAGTTCATTCACCGATTCATTCAAAAACAACCAATCCTTCGGTGTCTTCGCATTCGTGTCATTTAAGGTGTAAATTAGGGATCAATTGAAAGCTCACCGAAAACATGATTGTCGTCAATAGGAGATCCAATACTTCCGGATGACTGTGAATGAGGTCAGTGTCACCACTCGTGCCATAGATCTCTTCAGATCTGTTGTGTGTCTATTGTTTGTTCAGCTCTTTAACTCATTGCCCGTCACATCAATTACGTGTATTTCCCCCAACACTTGCCCATGATAAATGAGCATGATACTTTTTATATTAAAATTTTAATTTACATTGTTATGTGTTTTTAATTATGTAATATAAACCATAAACAGTTTAAATTGATTGTAAAAATTTTAATTTATGTATTTTGTAAACCCTTTGTATAGATTGAGGTTTTATTATAAAGTTGTTTAAAGTTTGTATTAAATAATTGAATACCGGGTCCGGGCCTACACTTCGGTCAATCAATTTAATTGTATTTTATATTTAAACTTTAATGCAAATTCAATTAATATATTGGTATTTAACTGAAATAAATAAAAATCAAACAAACTCTGGATTAAGTGAATTGAAAAACAATTTAATTACAGTATAACTGATTTAACTGTGAATTAATACAAGAATTGTTGCCGTAATTAATGTATGAAATATGAGTGCAAAACATAAGCAAATGTTTACGAAATGCCAAATAAGCGTCTATTGAGTGGACTATTGAGTGAATGAGTGTTTGATTGCATTTAAAACACTATTAAATGAATTGTGTTTTGAATGCCATTTGAATACATGTTTTAATGAAGACTTTTAATCACATTTTAACACATATTTTGAACCAAAAACAAAGAAATCGTCGAAACTATTGAGGAATGGATTTCCTAAAGAGTGGTTGGAATACCGTTTTGGGCACTAATCCCGACACAAGTCAGCCGTCGGTCGCAGAAACCGTATGTCTTAGCCATCAATTGATTGTCTTTTTCTTACTAACCATTATTTGTCTTGTTTTTGGACACCATTTATGGCCGCATTTGCCGGCGGTTTAGGTCGAGAAACTGGTCGAAAGGGTCGAGAGTTCAACACTTCTGGAGGACAGACGGGACGCGTGTCGGGCCCTGAAGTCGCTATCAAAGACTTATCGTCTAGAAGTGGGCGCACAAGCCATGGATGCCTTGACTTATGTCCTCCAAAACGACTCGTCGGACACTGAGATAATGAGTTACGCCATCGATACTCTTAATTATGTCATCTCTGGACCCGTTGACGACATGACAGAGAATCCGGTGCCGACGCCCACCCCTATGGCACCGACTTCTAGCGCCGCTTCACCCGATTTGGGCGTTCAGTTCACTGAAATCTTTGTCAAACGCAAAGAAAATGTGGCACTTCTTCTGGAACTGTTGGCCGAATACGACTTTAAGGTTCGCTGGCCTTCAGTTAAACTACTGATTGGTTTGTTGAGGAATAAGTTACGCGACTGTCAGGACTGTATTCTCTCGTATCCAATGGGTGTCTCCCGACTCATGGATCTGTTGGCCGACAGTCGAAGGTTCGCTGGCCTTCAGTTAAACTACTGATTGGTTTGTTGAGGAATAAGTTACGCGACTGTCAGGACTGTATTCTCTCGTATCCAATGGGTGTCTCCCGACTCATGGATCTGTTGGCCGACAGTCGGGAAGTGATACGAAACGACGCGTTATTACTTTTAGTCCATTTGACGCGAAGTAATGCCAATATTCAGAAGATCGTCGCCTTTGAGAACGCTTTCGACAGACTGTTAGAGATTGTGGCCGAAGAAGGCTATAGTGATGGAGGTATTGATTGCACAACAGTTTGCACTCACTTATTAGTATTAATTCAATGTGTGTTATCATTAAACAGGTGTTGTTGTGGAGGACTGTCTCATAGTATTGCAAAACCTATTAAAACTCAATTCTTCGAATCAAAACTTTTTCAAAGAGGGCTCTTATATCCAAAGACTATTACCATTCCTCGACATCCCGAACGCCACCGTTTGGAGCGCACAAAAGGCCACAAACCTCTTGTTTATGCTTCAAGTAATTCGTACACTCGTCTCGCCTAACAATCCATTACAAGTGACCACTTCTTGTCAAAAAGTTATGCAACAATCGGGTCTTTTAGAAAAGTTGTGTCTTATTTTGATGGCCAGTGGAATCCCTGCAGACATTCTTACAGAAGTATTTCATATCTATATATAATTTAAAATTATTGAAATTTGTTAATAAATTGTTTCGCATTTATTTAGACCATTAACGCCGTGTCCGAAGTGATTCGCGGCAATCATCACAATCAGGAGTACTTCAGTACAGTTAACGCACCAACAGTTCCGCCAAAACCAGCGATTGTAGTGCTCTTGATGTCAATGGTTAACGAGAAACAACCATTTGAATTGAGATGTGCTGTTCTCTACTGTTTCCAATGTTTTCTATACAAGAATGAGCTTGGGCAGGCACAGATCATACAGACACTCCTCCCATCATCTACTGAAGGTCTCTCTCTCTCTCTCTCTCTCTCTCTCTCTC